CCCTCCTCGCTGCTGGCACACACAACCAGTCCTGTCATGACCGCCGGATCTTCTTCGACTAGCACCCCCTCGGCCCGCCTGTGCCCGGGCGTTGGTGAGCCCTGTCGCTTCTATGCCGACCCAGTGCGTGGCTACTGCTCCTCTTGCTCGAGGCTTGTGGCCACTTCGGCGCCGGCTGCTGGCGATGCGCCGGCTGCCGTCCCGCCCGAGGTGGCTGTCGCCAGCTCCCCACTGGCCGCGGCCGAAACCCCGGACAGCCCCGCCATTGTCACGGCCACCGACGAGGCCCCTGTGGACGGCGGATCACCGGGTCCCTCCCCGCTCAGCGATGTGACTCCCTCATCGCCGGGCGATGCGGCCGCCCTGGCGACGCCCTCCTCTCCCGAGCCGTGTGAGCGGTCAACGTCGCCGGGTCCGGCTCAGCCGGTCCCCAGCTCCTCCTCCTCGCCGATGCTGACCCCGGCCGGGAGCATCCCGGTCCCCGGGTCGGCGGCTGTTCCTTCACCGGTGCTCAGTGCCTCCCCTTCGCTCGAGGGGTCGGCCTCCTCGCCGGCCGTGGCGGGGGGCTCCTCCTCCCCGCCGAAGTCCGCGGCCTCCGGTTCCGGGCCATCGCGCTGTGCCGTTTGCCGCAAGCGCCTCGGTCTGCTGGGGTTCACCTGCCGGTGTTTGCGCACCCTCTGCGGCAGCCACCGCGCGGCCGATGCCCACCAGTGTGAGATTGACTACCGGGCACGCGCGCGCGCGCACCTCCAGGCCGCCAACCCGGCCGTTGTGGCGACCAAGATCGACAAGATCTAGGTGATCCGCGCCCGATGCGCGCGCGGGTGTGCCTTCCTGGCACGCATCCTGGCTCCGCAATGATTGCTGGTGCTGGTGCTGGTGCTGTCTGCCCCCCCCCCCCCCCGACCCTACCCCTCACCCCCCTCTCCTCCTTCAAGAGGGGAGTGGAGGGCCGCCGGTTGGAGGAGCACACAGGCAAAGATGCCCCTGGGCTTGTTGAACTCACAAGAAGGAAAGAGAGAGAGAGAGACAGAGAGCGCGCGCGCATGCGCCCCCCCCCCCCCGAAAGCGGGAGTGCCTGTGAGAAATGAGGAACATGGGCATGATGCAGGATGACAACGGCGCACAAGGAGGAGGAGTGGTGGAAGGTGGGAGATTAAGATTAACCGCGGGCCCAGTTCAACTGCACTCTCTCCCTCTCTCGGGCGTGCATGTTTGGCTGCCCTCTGCACACCCTTCCCGGTGTCTTTCCCCTTCTCTCCTCCTCCTCCTCCTCCTCCTCCTTCTTCTTCTTCTTTCGTGTGCCCCCCATCCTCTTGCCCATTTCTTCCATGCGTCCTCCTTCTCTCTCTCTCTCTCTCTCCATCTCTCTCTCCTTTCCCTTCTCCCCATGCAGCTCTGCCTTCCTCCTGTGTTCCTCCCCCCTTCCGGTTTTCACACCTTGTCCTTGGAACCCACTCTCCGGGTCTCCCCGCTTGCCGGTGTCATGCGCCTCCTCCTCCCTATCCAATGGGGGAGAGCGCGTGCGCCGCAGGGTGGGCGCGTATGACCTGCCGTCACGAGAGGCAGTGAGCGAGCGAGCGAGCTAGAGAGAGCGAGAGAAACAGCCAGCAAGAGATCCACCACCATGTCAAGACTCGGTGGTCTTCTTCTCGCTTTCTCTCGCTTTTCCTCCTCCCCCCGCCCTCCCCCTTCCCCTTCCCCTTCAGTCACACGCGCCTTCCCCCCTTTTTCGCTCGGCGTGCTCCCCCCTCGCCCCCTCCCCGAGCTTTGTATTTTAATATCCTCCCATCTCTCCTCTTCCATCGTTCCTCCCCTCCCCCCCTCTCCCCTGAGGCACTCGCGTATGCTGCACTTGCTGTGTGTGTGTGTGTGTCTGCGTGCACGTGCCTACTGTGTTGACCTCCTCAGAGCACGCGCCTTCTTTCCCTCGCCTCCAGCACTTGTGAGAGGTGGAGCCTATACATGCAACCATGCCTTCCCTCCCCCCTTCCCCTCTGTCTCTCTTTTTGTTTAAACCCACACAATGCCCGATGGGGCAAATGTTGTCCAGGCTAATACATTAAGAATCCCTCCTTGCCGTGGCCGCTGTTTTCTCCCTTCACCGTTTGCCTCTCCTACCTCCCCTGAAAAGTATTCCGCCGAAGAGAGGGGCGGGAGCGGGGGCGGCGGAGGCGCAAGCACAAGCGCTGGGATGTGGTGAAGACACACAGGGGTGCATGCATTTCAGGGTATTTGATTATTGCTGGTGCCTTCGGGGCCAGGCGAGGCAGATAGAAAGTGGAGAGCACCCGCCAGGGGGGAGTTCATCGGCGCTGTTCCCCTCCCTCCTTCCCTCCCTCCCTCCCTCTCTCTCTCTCTCTCTCTCTCTCTCTCTCTGTCGCGCGCCTTTTCGCCTGTGGTCTACAGATGTAAGTGAGGTCCATGTCTACGATGCGAATGCTCGCTCGCGAGCTTGTTGAGGCCGGGGCCGCGCCGGTGCTGGTTGTTGTTGTTGTTGCTGCGGCTGTTGCTGCTGCGGCTGCTGCCGTTGTTGTTGATGATGTTGAGGCTGCTGCCGTTGTTGTTGATGATGTTGAGGCTGCTGCGGCCGTTGTTGCATGGGCGACGAGCCAGGCTGGAGAGTGGGAGCAGGCATAGAGCCGGGAATCAAGCGGGCATGGCCCGAAGTGGACGTGAGTGCCGCCGGTACACGCGCGGAAGATGCGACCACCCGCGAGCCTGAGCCGCGCGCCGGTGCGGCAGGGGCGCGCACAGATGGCGCGGCCGGACCGTGCACAGATGCGACGGGCGCCTGCCCAGCATGGACTGACACCTTGGCAGGCGGAGACGGCGTGCGAACGGGTCCGCCAGCCGGGGCACGAGTGCTTGTCGGCATGGGCCCCTCGAGGGCATCGAAAAAGTCCTCCTCCTCCTCCGACTCGAGGAGGGCCGCCAGCTCGGCTTCCAAATCAGCCGCCAGCTCGTCATCTGGCCAGGCATCCCCCGGGAGGGCCAACGATTGGGCTGCCTCCTCCCCTCGGAGGGAGAGATCCTGCAGTTGATCGACCAGGTCGTCGGCAGCGGAAAGAGCTCGATCTGCGCCCCCGGGGCCGAGCACCGAGCGAAGGACGGCCGAACTGTCCCGCAGGGCGGCAAAGCTGCTGCCCAAGTCCACAGCTCCCAGGAGTTGCTGCCGGGAATTCAGTACATTCAGCCCGAGAGATCGGCACGCCTCGGCCCGCGAGAGGGCAGCCTGGCGCTGGCGCAGGGCCATACGCGCGGGTTGAAGCTGGCGCGCGCGCGAGCCTGGCCCGGCCAGGGCCCGGCGGGCCTCCTGCTCGAAGCAAGTGGCCAGGGCTTCGTGCACGCTGGCACGCAGGGTCAGCCCGGCGTCCAGATCCTCCAAAATGGCCGCCGCCGTTTGGCTGCTCTGGTGCCGGAGGCGCTCGCGAGTCTCGGCGGTCGGCTGGTGGAGCACCGGCCCGGCATCCGGCGCATCGGGGCTGGCAAGGAAGGTCACCACCACGGCAGTTGTGGTGGGTGTATTGCGAGTGGTGGCGGCGGCCAATTCCAGGGTGACCAAGCCATCCCAGGCCAGCTGCAGCAAGCCCAAATCAAAGTCGAGCCGACGTCCGACGCAGCCCAGCGCCTTGGCGAGGCAGGGGAAAGAGCGAGAAGGAGGAGAAGCAGGCAGGGGGGAGGGGGATCAGTAAATGCGGATGGGGGCCCCTGGCCATCCTTCCCCGGCCCCCAGGGTGCCGGAGGAGGGAGGACGATGAAGGGTGCCTGCCTCTTGCTGGGAGAGGGTGTCTTCATGGACGTACTCGGGCATATCGACAGTATGCCAGTCGCGCGGTCATGGTATGGCCGTCAGCTGCGAGGGCCGCCGGTAGTTGGGATGGATCAATGCCAAAAGCCGGGCGCCCGGCCTGCGACCGGGAAAGCACGGCCCTGGCAGCGGCCATGTCCCCCTGCCCCACATGGTAGGCATACCAATGTGCCTGGCAGATGGCATGGCCAAGGGCTCGGGCCGCCGAACGGCTGACGAGCATTGATCGAACGGGGGCCTTGTGGCCGGTGGTCCGGCCGGCAGCGGCCCGGCCGGCAGCGGCCTTCACGGCATCGTGAGCGCCAATCGGGCTCGACTGGTGGCCGAGCAGCCGGGCGAGAAGGGCCCCGGGCCATTGGAGCAGGGGACTCGACCCCCCGCCTTTGGCATGCTTGTGGTGATGGTCCGCGTCGCGCAGCAGGAAATCGGAGCTGGCCTGCGCCACCTGGAGCAAGTATTCCGGCGGGATGAGCGATCCTTCGGCAACCAGTTCATCCTGGATGCCATCAATGGTCAGTGGACAGGTGCAGCGGGGAGACCATCCCTCCCGCCAGGTGGCCGGTGTGTGTGTGTGTGTGTGTGTGTGTGTGTGTGTGTGTGTGTGTGGAAAAGGCAGCGAGCGCATATCACGAACCAGGACAACAGCCATGCCTAATGGCCGGGCTCCGGCATCGAGAAAGTATGCGGCCAAGGAGTCCGGTGCACCGGGGACCAAAAGTCGGCTGCCGAGGCTCGGAGGAGGGAGCCACAGGCCTCCGGCCGCTGAAAGGCCACCGGGGCCCGGGGCATGTGCCGAGGCCACGCCCCCGGGGCCAGTGGCTTCCGGCTCGCCAGGTGCCACGGCCGATGGCCATAGCCCCGGATCGAGGTCCGCATCGCTGCGAGCCAAGAGCTCGGTGGCCACCTGGGCACATGCGGCCTGGGCGTCCTCACCAAGGGCGCCCTCGAAGCCGGCCTGCAAGAGATCCGGCCGAGTGAGGGAGACCGCACGCCAGAAAGCCGCTCGACGTCCGGGGGCGGGGGTGGACTTGGTTGGGGGCACAGCCGGCCGGAGCAGGCCGTCTGCCGGAGGCGCCTCGGAAAAGACCCCAGCCAGGGCCAGGTGCTGGATGGCGCCCCGCCAAAAGGCCAAGCGACTGTCCCAGCCCTGAATCGGTTGTGTGTGTGTGTGTGTGTGTGTGTGAGCAAAGTGGGTCGCACGAGGGGGAGCCCTTTCGAGGTCATGGGCCAGCACGTACGGTGGGGTTGATGGACCGATCGGCCGGGAACTTGGAATACAGGCCACGCAGACGCTCACGGTCGGTCACATCCCGGGGGTAGACCTCCTTCAGGAGTTGCAAGGCGGTGATGCGTGGCTCCCGTGCTGGGGTCCGGGATGCCGGGCCGCCCAGATCGTCGGGCATCCTCGGATGTGAGCAGTGCCACAGGGGGCGCAGGTGGAGGACAGAGCGCTTGGACGAGGGGAGGCGAAGGACAGGCGGGGCGCAGAAAAAAAAATCGGTGTCGGGGCAAAGGAAAGGGGCTACGGGGGAGGAGAAGAGGAGGGAGGAGGTGGATGCCTACCTGCGCGGCTGTCTGGCTACCCCGGACAAGGGCTCTTCCAGAGCGTCGCCCAATAAACAGAGGCACACCCGCGAGGATGCGGAGCGATCGGCGCACGCCCCCGGCGGTCGTGGGTGTTCCCCCGCCTTCCAGCCCGTGCTGGAAAGTCGATCTTTGCCCCCTGCGGGCAGGCCACGCACGTTGGCGCGCAGGCCTTGTCAGGGTCTTTCGGCCCACCCCGACCCGGCGCCCATCATCCCACATGAGCCCCTCTACGCAGAGGGGCTTGTGTTGTGCGTGTGCCCGTTGCCTGCCCCCCCCCCCCTGGCTTCGGCAGGATGACTACACAAGCGCTTTGGACGATGTCCCTCCTCTCGGTCTCGCAACACGGCCGCGGCACCCCGCGCGCCGTCTCTCTGCCCGCACACCGCTTCCCTGCCCATCCCCCCCCCCCTGCACCCGACTGCCAGCTTCATTGTGGGGGGCAAAAAGGAAATGACTGTCCGAACCAGGACTCGAACCTGGGACATTCTGTGTGTTAGACAGATATGATAACCATCTACATCATTCGGACTGGTAATATGATCGCCTGGCGTGATATATGATCACCCTCACGTGCATGCCTCCGGGCCTCGTCCCACCGGGCCGTGCCAGACGCGGGGCCGGTTTTTTCTCTTCTCCCTCCTGCCTGTTCCCCCTCCTCCGCGGTGGCTGCCTGGTTCATCGTTGCCCCTGGCATGCGAGTGTGTTGACCGACCGGCAGCAAAGCCCCAGACACCGCGGCAAGTCCCGGCGGCTGGGCCAAAGGGCGAGATGGACACCGGAGGCGGCAGCATTCTATTCAAAGGGGTCAAAAGGGAGGAAGGGCAAGGGGGAGCCACCATGTGGCCAGTGCCCGGTCCCAGGGGGTGCGAAGCTCCTGTTCACCGCAAAAGCAGCGGGGGCTGGTCGACTGGTGGACCACAGAGGCCTCTAGGCTTGGCAAGCAGCCAAAGTGGAAGATGTGAAGAGGAGAAGAGGGGGGGGGGGGAGAGAGAGAGGCCGGGGAGACAGCCAAACGGCCCGAGTCCGCGGCGCGGGCGAGGGCCGGCTCGGACGCA